GGCAACAATCGACCATCGCTCCACCCCGACAAGACCTCCGTGTCTTCATCCGTCTAGAAGCCGGAGCTCCGGCCAGGGCCCACAGTGGCTACGCAATCCGGACCCTGATCCGGGAAAAACTCGGCGCCGTCTCAGACAAGATTCGACAGGTGTTTGAAGTCAGATCAGGATGGGCCATCCTGGCTGCCGACCTCGAAACGCGCGACTTTCTCCGTAGAGAAGCGGGCCGAGTGGGCGGCTGAGCTGGGAGCTATGGCAGTAGAAACGAACAAGGAATGGCACACTTATGTGGTCTCACACTTTCCCAGAAGACTGACCGACTTTCGCGGCAATGAGGTGGATAGTGACAGCGTTGTCAGCGATGAGATAGAAATCCAGACAGGGCTCAAGCCCGTTGATATACGTACTGGGAGACAATTCTCGGATAATCCCTTGACCAAGACTCTACTTGTGTCCTTTCTCAAGCCCACCAAGAGATTCTGGTCCCTCTTTGGCAGCCGTGCAGCCAGACTCATAGACAAAACCGTCCAACCTAAACAGTGCGAAACGGGGGACTACCACTTTGCCCGCAACTGCCGTAGACAGCCAGTCTGCCGACGCTGTGGCAAGACTGACCATATCGCAGACGGCTGTGCTGCACCAGAACAGTGCGTCAATTGCTTAGGGCCCCACGACGCCAGCCTTCGTAAGTGCCCAGCTCGGCCGAAGAAAGTGCGCGGCGTCCTTCGCCGGCTTACCAAAGAACAACGAGAACATGTCCGAATGGTGGGCGCGGAAACATACCGACAACGATATTCAGAAACACAGCTAGAGACGCATATGGAATCCCAACAAGGAGCGTCTGAACTGCGAAGGGGCGACATCGGACTAGATGAACAGCCAGACGCTCACGCTCCGAGTCCAGCTGCATCGGGAGCACCCTCGTGCATCATGGTGGCCACAGCTCCCCGGGCTACCTACGAAGCAGAGGAAGGAGCCTGAACACCATGGACTAAGCTCACCGAAGAAGAAGCGTCGTATAATTCTGACAAGCCGTACTCATGACTATGACCAGGAATAGGTACTCGCAGACACGAAAGAACGACAAGAAGCCTCTCAAGGCTTCCAGGCCAACGTCGGCAAGATCCCTCCGGCCCACGACTGCGCCCTGGCGCTAGCCGACTCAGAACGATATGACATTGTACTCCTGCAGGAGCCGTGGACAGCTCATACTAAAGCCCGCTGCCTAACCAAGAACATCGCGTCGACACGTTCACGCCAGTCGACATGTGGAACAGCAACGACACTCGGCCTAGAGTGATGACATATGTTCGACGAGACCCAAGACTTCTGGCTGACCAGATTCGCCCCTTTGAGACACGTGACATTCTTTGGATCACAGTCAACGGCATGACGATAGCCAACTTTATCGCAGAACGACGAGAAGGAGCCTTGAACACGCTACTTCGATGGCCTGTGCCGGAGCGCTGCCTCGTCGCTGGCGATTTAATCCAGACACCATAGTTGGCAGACGGGCCAAGCTACGAATCGCGGCCAAGAAATTGCAGACTGGACGTCAGAGAACGACCTCAACCTTCTCAATACTCTAGACATACACAAATCCGCACGGCAACACAATCGATCTTGCATTCACCAACCTGCCGCTGGCCGAAACTTTCGAGGACCACCTCGCCACTAGCTCCGACCATTTCACACTCAGCTTGACCTTCCCTGATATTAGATCGACTCCGATGCAGCCGGCCAAGATCCGAGTGACGACGGAAGACGAGCCAAACGGATTGTGAGATCGTAGAACTTGGAACCACGGAAATCCCCCTGACACACTCGACCCCTGCGGAACTAGACGAGCTTACGTTGGCACTCGTAAATCTACTAACATCAGCAGCAAAAGCATCTGGCCGGCCTGCACGCAAAGGTGGACGTCCAGCTCCCTGGTGGACGGAGGAGTGCGCCGACGCCGCGGCTACTTTTCGAGCCATCAGACGTAGCTACCCTCTGGGCTTCAACCAAGATGTCCAGATGGCCAAGCGAGACTTTCACCGTGTAGTTCGTCGTGCTAAAAGGAAGTATTGGCGGAACCTCATCGATAGCTTCTCCAGCAGCAGCGCTTTTCAAGCTGTCCGGTGCTGAAATCCCCTGGAGCCTTTCAGCCTCCACCGCTACAAGTCGACAATGTTGTCTATGAGACCCAGATAGACAAAGCCAATGCACTCCGACAGGCTACGTTAGAAGAAGAACTGCAGAGGACGACATTGCAAACCCTTGGACGCCTGTCACTCCTCGTAGACCGATACCGTTCCCTTCAGAGATCTCCATGGAAGAGGCGCAGTATGCAACCCTGAGCACAGGCAACACGTCCCCGGGATCGGACAACATCACAGTCAAACTTCTCGAGACAGTATGGCATATCATCGGGACACACATCCGCCGTCTCTTCGCAAGATGCCTTGCAACAGGCATCATCCAAAATTTCAAGGAAGCGGAGGTGGTCATGATCGCAAAACCGGGGCGCAGAGACCTCACAGAACCACGAGCATGGCGACCAACTCACTGCTCTCTTGTCTCGGCAAGGGACTCGAGCGGCTGATCGCACGCCGTCTGGCCTGGGCAACGGTGCACTTCAGCGTCCTTCACCCACAGCAAACGGGGGCGTTGCCCAAGAGGTCGGCAACAGACCTGGTGACAGCCCTGATACATGACATCGAAGAAGCGTTTGCGAGCAAGAAAGTGGCGACTCTAGTCACAATGGATATCCAGGGCTTTCGATAGGTCATGTGCATAGGCTCGTCCTGCGTCTTCGCGAACAGGGCTGGCCTAACCATTTGGCTCGCTGGGCTGGCTCCTTCATGAGCGGCCGGTCTGCGCGTGTCAGGTACCAAGACACCGTCACGCCCTCTTCTCCCCTACAGTGCGGCCTCCCTCAGGGGTCGCCGGTATCGCCGATTCTCTTTCTGCTCTACACTGAGCCAATCTATCGACTGGGCAATCCCCGGGGTCGCTTCGGCTATGCAGACGACACGGCCATCCTGTCCATAGCCGACACGTTAGACGAGACTACTGCTATGGCATCCAGCTCATCGCCGAGATGGTGCGAAGGGGCGCAGCGAACGGCGTTTCCTTTGACACGAAGAAGACCGAAGTCATGCACTTCTCCCGTAGCAAGCTCGGACTGCCCGCAGTACGCCACGGCGATGCAGAGAAGCACCCCGAATCAGCTCTGCGCTGGCTTGGCATCTGGCTGGATACAGGCTATCGTTCAGGTCCACGTCGAGAAGTGGGCGGCTAAAGCGAAGACAGTAGCCTATCATTTACGGGGTCTCACTAACACGATACACGGCCCTCTACCGAGCGCCGTTCGAAGTGCTGTCAGAGCATGTTGTCGAGCCAGTGCTACTTCACGGCTTGGAGGGCGTGGGTATCCAGGCAGCACTAGGCCGCGATGGAATCAGCCCACAAAGGAACTACCGTCGAGCAATCAGCATCTCATACAAATAATGAACAAGCCATAATCAGGCCATGAGAGCGATACTACCTGTCTGGAAGACGACTCCCCGCCATCCTACATAGGGAAAGCGGTATACCACCAATTGACCAATTGCTCGAAGCAAAGCGACTAAGATTCGCCGCAACGACTTAAATCGCTAACGAGGCTCACCCTCTGGCGGGCCGAACGCGCCCGCGTCGACCGCCTGACCGACCTACCTACCACGACCTCATCAAACGAAGATACCAAATACAGACAAAAAGTGTCTTCAGGACACGTCTCCGACGCACCGACGAGCTGCTTGCGCCCTGCGAGCGGCCAAAACTCGTCCAGCGATGCTTCCATCAAGAACAGATGCCTCCACTCCAGATGGCGTCAAAAGAGAAATCGACCGGCGCCTTCCTCCACTGGGTTGAGAGACTCGGACCCGCTCCACCTTGGGTCGTATACTCAGATGGCTCTCTATCCTCGGAAGGAGCTGCAAGCTACGGCTTCCCCATTCATCAGAACAATGTCCCCATCTTCGATGGATCAGGTCGCCTTGGGCCTGCCGAGGTCTTCGACGCTGAAGCTACTGGGGCATTAGAGGGCCTCAAAGCGCCCTGACCTGCAAGGGTCAGCAGCGCAAACCATTTTCATCTGTCTAGATAACCTCGCGGCCGCCACGGCCTCGAGGCACGCCCTCCGACTCCTCTCAAGACGTCTTTCTCGAGTTTCAGGCTCTAGCGGCATCGCACGGAGCCACACAAGTACTCTGGGTCCCAGGACACTCCTCTATCCCTGGCAATGAACAGGCGATAAACTGGCAAAAGCAGCGTCATCACTCCTCGAACCTGAAGGTCTCAACCAACGCTGGCTTACCTACGACGGATCGCGAGACAAAAACCAAAAGAAGCATTCGAGACGTGGTGGTCTACCTCCGCTCCTGAGCAATACAAGAGACTCAACCTCAAGGCGACTAAGGCTGCCCACAGAGCTGAGCTCCCGCGCGCAGCCTTACACCACTTGCTGGCAGCGAGGTCCCTCCAACGGGGACTTCGCCGCGTATCACGAGAGGTTCGACCACGGCGATGCGCGCCTGGTCTGCTCATGCGGCCGACGCAAAGCACCGGATCATATCTTCTACTGCAGAAAGGCCGCAGCGCATCCGGATGGAGGCTAGCACCCTCACCGAATGCAGCAGTCAATCTAGCAATAGGAAGAGACTTTACCAAGTTTATCGATCTGTCTAAAGACAGCGCGTTCTTTGGGAAAATTTGCCCTCGCTACTAGGCGCCCACGACTTGAGAAGCACTCGC